TATATACATAATACCTTTTTTTTTCGCGTAAACGTGTCATTGCGCATATCACCGAAAGACGTAAGTAGGCAATGTTGGCCACATGGACGACCAAGTGACCTCAACGCTTGTCGGTCGTAACCGCTTTCAGCCTGTTTGACCTCATATTTGCTTCAGTGCAACATATTGGATACGCGTAATTTGCGAAGATTTTACAGTGGATAACCTGGAACAATTCAATCGACTAGTTGGGACTACTAATATGGACCTGAAATCGCATCGCTCGAAATCTCCGACCCGATTTGGCGTGCTGTCCGAGAACCTACATTGTCATTTTTAGCTCTAAACAACGGAAGACCTTAGGATTTGGGAGCGAAAACTCGCACAGGTTAATGAAGATTTCTTTGCTTCAAGTGGCACGAAAACTATATTGCTTCAGATGAGTGAAGCAAAATTGCAATCATATCAAAAAGGACGAATTTACTCGATTCACGTTGTCACGTTAGGAAATTACTCTTGATGTGTTTCTAGAACAGATTTTTAGTATAGAATAGCTCGTTTTGGTAAAGATGACAATTTGTTTTTTGACATTTTGGCTATACACCGTTAGTTATCATTACAGCAACCATTACAAAAAAAGTTGCCGTACTACCAAGGACCGGTACACAATTGAAAATGCCCTATAAATCAGCCAGTATTCGATCTTATCATCTCTAGTTGACAGTGTATTTCACTGTTTCAGGACCGCCAGATCTGACAAAGCTATCAAATATTTCATACAATGAAGGAAGCACTTTTCTGTGAGCGTAAGACAATATACCCTTCGTGTAAATTTTTAACCTTCGATAATAATTCGAGATGCTGTTTGTCAATATATTGCGCATGACCATTCTTCATGAGAGAGTAGTCATTCAGTCCAAATAAATCTTTGATTGAATATTGATTATTTTTCCAGCAAGCCAAACGTGAACTACATACGAAGTTAAAGCTTATTAAGTATTTTTCCTTTGCTTTTCTAATTTGAACAAATTAGAAACATTATGAAAAAAAAATTCTCTTTTTACTATTCTCATTGGTTTCTTAAAGAGATTTGTTTTGCCTATTTGGCCCCTACATAACTTAGTGTCTACTTATAAAAATACATCGTTATACTTAAGCGTACAAACTAAACGTATGTGGATGTCTAAATAGTTTAGAGTAAATCAGCTTGTTTTCTATGAGTGCTAGAGTTTTAGGAAGCAAACCTTATCTGGGAGCATCCATTTACTCGCGTAGAGAACCTGCACACTGGGAGCGCTACTCATGTAGCAACCGTGGTAACACAATTACGCTCAAGAACGCCAGCTAGGAAGAGTTGTCTGTTCTGTTAAGTCAGTGATACCCATGGAATGAAGTAAATTTGATCCATCGTCAGAATTTCCTTATAGCCATTTCCCACTTCATTTATATTGCCTAAAGTTTAAGTGGTAAGTCTAAAAGTTTCGTAAGTGATTCTGTCGTCTTCGTTCTATAAACGATAAGGTTAGACCAATTACGCAAAAAGCTGATGACATCATCGCGGAAGTTGAACAAGACAGTCATAATTAGACAATTACCATTAACCAGTTTTAGAAATTTTTAGAGAACTGGATACAAAAAAAAACCTAGTGTTTCGGTGTCACACAAAGTAGCGCGAAATAATTTACTCGACCGTATATCCATTTGCGAAACTTCATAAATGCGCAACGGAACTAAGCCGTTTTTATGATGATCGATTACACTTAATGAAAACTAGTTGTCACAGCAAACTTTTTTGTGGGCCTGAGAAGCATTGGTACTTTTATCGTAATAACATTGTAATATATCACCAATTCTTGTAGAAATTTTACGCATCTTTGAAGTGCTCTATCTGAAACTTAGATAAAGATATTCCAATTATTTTAGCCCATCCGCTATTGCCAAATCACACGGCGCCCTAGATACGTGATACTAACGCATCTAACTTATCCTTGTAACGATCCGACAAATAAGTAGCCTCATATCGAGCTATATACGTAAGGCGGGGTGCGTCGGTCAGAGTAGCCGTGCCTTAAAAATGGCATTCTTAAGTCATACTTCTTTGTGTTAAATAGTAGGCTTAATTGATCCAATTTATTTACTTACCTAGTACTGGCTAGCGTACACGTCTGTTAGGTCCTAGAATATCTCGTGATAACTTGGTATGTTACGTATTTGCCTGCTAGTATTAGGGACACATTGTATGGGTTCGAGGTTCGTTTCCTGGTGCAAACCAGCCGTTTGATGGAATGACCAACGTCAGTACCGGAACTCGAAGCATAGAAAGGTCTTGGAATATCATCGTTTAGGATTTGGCGCTTGTCGAGATTCAAGGAAACAAATATGGCAGTGCTTTTATTGCAAGATATATATTGTTATATCTTTTATATGAATGAACCTATTGTTCAAAAACGTAATACCAACTCTCGTGGCGCTCCTAGTTGCTGCATTTATTTGTTCATTCACAAAGATGCTGGTCGGCAGGTATTTGTTTGGCTAATCTATCTAGTTTAAAGCTATGGGAAAACTTTTTGACTCCCGATAAGCGGCCGTAACTAAATATTAAGTTATGTCATTATTCGAAACTATTTCTTCTACCAACAGCATATTCTAGCATATCTAACACATTTGCTCGGCAAGTGACGTTTTGCGCTATTTGCGGATGTTCTGTGTGTAGATACCGTGAACCATTAGAATTATTTTTTATACAGGAAGCCTACTCCGAACGCATAGATATCGCACAGATATTTGAATGCGTCTTCAATGATCTCCCTTGTATTCTTTTTTGCTTCACAATGAATGATACGGCTTGTCATATGCCAAAAGAACCAGTTTCGAAACAAGTTCCTAGGTGACTTTGGCTCGATTTGGTTATCGGACATATAGAAAAACTTCGCGTACTTGGAGGTCGACGGAAAACACTCTCAACGCTAGTTAACAATGCGTGGTATTGAACTGGACTTCTTCAAGTTACTTGTTATACTGCATCCATTGATGTGGAAATCTAAGTCCACTTGGCATGTGCTACGTCAAAGAAAACTGTGACTACTGGTGGTAAGTGACAATCGTTAATTACCACTAGTTTCAATAAAACAATGTAACAGACGACAGAATAACGCTGTGTTAATTAAGAGTGCCTTCTGTTTACTTATTACAATTATTGCCGTGGTCTTCTGCTACTGTCAGTTATCTACACAGCAACCTAAAACCCATACGTAATAACAGGTAAAACACAACATTTCGCAGGAAACAAAAGTCAGATAACCGTAGATAGAGCACTGAATCTATTTAGTTACACGGCTAGGAAAAAGAACCCCTAAACCTAAATTTCCCGAACATTAATGATGAAATTCAGATTGCAAATTCAGCATTATTTCCAAAAGCCCGGTGTACCTCACTACGCCAGCGGTATTTCGATTATGTAGTTAACGAACAAATACAAATAAAGCATAGAGAGTTTCTGAGCAATTTAGCAAAAAGCATGTTTTTTCGGTTAACTCGCTCAAAATTTTAATGAATTGAAGAATTTTCACTGTTCTCCTAAACGTCATTGCTGGACGAGTTGTCAATAACCTCAACTTGTAGAGAAATATTTGAGTTAATTGATGTTCCTGTGTGGATTTACCACGATTGTTCCTCGAATCCTTGATTATTTTCCCTTTTTCCTTGATGGCTTTTCCAACGACTTCAGTTGGGTACTTCGACCGCTGAATTATACCCTAAGCTTGTCGGATTTAACATGACAAGGTGAACCTTTGAAAAAATGTGGTGCCGAAGTTCCCTCTTTACTGTAGGGTGCACAATTATTGTCATCGATCACGCAATCATTTTTATTATTTCTGTTTGTGTTACTAATAAATAGCTATAGCCTGCCAAGCATTTAGGTTTTGCTCCCACAACGCTAGCTTATTTTTCGTAGCCACCCACAGAAACTGATCAGAATCAATTTGCGCTAAGCAGATTAGCACTAACTCTGTATCGCTATTTCTGTAGGATTGGAGCTATCTAATGGGGTGTATGTGTGATCCAAACGTCGATGTCGTAGCTTGTGGAGCATTTTTTTTTTAGTACCCTATTATCGTACTGAGAAAAAAAAATCACGAGAATGTAGGTTTTTCAAGAAGTTCGTAGTAAACGTAAACTCAATGATTCTTTATTGTTGCGTAGAGAAAACGGACATACCACTATGTTGACAACGTCTTCTTTTCAGTATCTCACATGTTATATGTTTTTTTTTATGATTTTCAGCGCAAGCGACAATATGTGAAATGCTGCGCTATATGAATGTAACAAGCGTTGTTAATACCAAGTACCTGTTTTCGTCTTAGTATATTAGAAAATTCTTTCAAATAAACAGAAAACACGTTACGACAGAAATTCCATTTAATGAACTTTCTCTTTTCAAATTCAATTTAAGTGCAACATGAGCGCAAGGTGGCCGACGTTGCGATCGCTAATTCTTAACTGAATCTTCCGATAATTACTTGTTACTAAATTAATCATGATGAATCCTTCAACGGTCAATCATGACGCTTTTCAACATTAAGGCCTTACCATCGTTTTAAATCATAGGCACAGCATTCACGTTCATTAACAGTTCCTAAACCAAAGATTTTTGTATGTAGCTCTTTTCATGCCCCTAAGGATTATTGGCATTTAAGTAAAGAAAATTGTATTTTTTAGTTGTAATTTGTAATGTAGAAATTGTATTATTCACATGTACATTCTGGCTAAATCAAGAGAAACTAAACTCACGGAATGCACCCTGCTCTGATAACGAACGACAAGCGAGAATACATACGAGCAACGTTAGGTAAGCTCGTCAATTCGCTGCAGTGTCATCATAAAATAAAGAATCCTCTTGAGTTATTGTCTCTTTTACTAAATTAATTTCACACAGGCTGCTAGAAACGCTGCTGCCTGATTTTCAGTCGCCTTTAATTGGTAATAAACATGCTTCAACAGGTAAAGCATGACGGCAAATGCAAAACAACCATTTATATGCGTTACAGATAGGGCAAATGTGCAACTCCTTTTTATTTTTTTGCGGCGATCTCTATGTAATACACAGGCATGAGTGCGTTCATGAAAGCGCCACTTTACTATCGACCCTGCAGGAAAGCGTCGAAGCTGTCTCGTTTCGCGCCGCCTTGCTAAAGACCACCCGGTGCTCATCCTCTGAAAGATCTGTTTTTACGTTCCTCAGGAGACCTCTATTTCTCAACAATGACAATGACAACGACAACAACAAAAACAACCATAACAAGCAAGTGCTCCTTGCTTAATTGCTCGGAAACAAAACGCAACATTTACTGAGGAGAGTGCTGTTAAATATATTTTGTAAAGTGAGCTGCTACGCCTATCCTTAGAACTTAGTAGAGAAAGCACGTTACCCGATTGTGAGTGGACCTTCAGTTCTTCTGGCTCAAACTGGATTGAAACTGCTTTTGACGTAAGGAAACTTGTTCACCTGTCACTAGCCTGGTCAAAGTACGGTATTTATCTTGGCGACTTTATGTTTTTCACATTTTTTCTATTGTTTTTCAACTATAGATTCTTGACTGATATCTGTTTGATGCATTGGTATAAATCATTTCTGGATCAATCCAAGCATTGGATGTATTCAATAGACCTCTTTATACTAAATCTTGCCTATGTACACATGTATTCTGTAGCGTGACGAATGCGCAGGCAGAACTCGAAAAAACCCTTGCTAGTAATTTTCTTAAAAATGACATAGAAAAATGGTATATGAATTTTCGAAAAACCATTAACATCTGCCTGCGACAAAACACACAATTCACATCCATAGATGACATGCTACTGGAATAGCTTTGCTGGAGAATACGCAAAATTGTAACAAACCGCTTTAAAATATCTTCGTACTTTTGCATACGGGCTGGCGTAAAAATAGTATATATTGTGTTCCAGAAGTGTGCTCCGCTTCCTTATAATAGAGTTTGAGCTAACTTTAAAATGCGTATCTCGAAGAGAACAAAACAAGTTTTAAAGCGTTTATGTTGCCTACAGAGTAGATTAAACGGAGAATTATTCAACGGCGAGGCTTGGTTAGATGGAGAAAGGGGACGCGTTTGAATGAAAATTGAACCAAGTACTCTGTTTAATTGCTGGAACGTACAGAGAAGCAAAGAAGGAGAAGAGACAACATAGTGAGATGATGGGTGGATGTAAGGAGGTTAATGGTTTAGGTGCGAAGGCAAAAGAATGATGTACGTTGACGGGAGGTAAAAAAGGAAAAAAGGAAAGAAAAAAGGGATGCGATAACAGATAGTGGACCTCTCTGTACAAAATATAGCGAGGATTTGTATAGATGTATATGTACATACGAGATGGGGCGTGTTATATATATATATATATAAAATAATTGTTCATTCGCAAGTATATTGGAAGGAAAAGGGCTTTGTAGAAAAGCGTAAGAAAACAAAGCGGTAGTAGACACAACACGTGTCAACTGGTGTGATCAGATGATTCCAAAATGCGAAAGATCTCTATAGCTTAGAATGAAATGTTTTTCTCTGTTCATCAGTGGGTAATCTCAAAGGCAGGCTGACCAACAGATCTCTTACTTTCACGTCGTAAACGCTCTTTCCTATGAAACTTTAGCTATAATTGCTTTCGATAGGTCTTTTTAAGCCTGCTAAATAGCCAAGAAGGGATCGAAATGGTTACCTGTGTTATAAATGATGGTTCGTCTTAGTAAAGAAAGCATTTATAGTTACGCATTTATTAACTGTAATTAACATGCTAAAGAATCATGTTGTCAACATGGTGAGATATAGCAAAAAATCGGAAATAGATGAAATCATTAGATTTTTTCACAAAAAATCTGGAAAACCTAAGAAATAATTCCCTTGAATTTAAGAATTGTTGAAATTTCAGCACAGATTACAGGGTTGTTTGAGCAGTCAATATTGAAAAAATGACCTAAAGTAAAAAGATAATGAAACAATCCTGGCAGTCGACAATCTGAACGCACACTTCCAGTTGTAGTTAAATTGGTTTCTAGTAATACTATTTAACATCTTCTGACGCAACTATTTTTCTTCTAGGACAATGCTAAAAAGCACTCCATTAGACATTTTAAGGTGACTTAAATAAAGTTGTACCTTTTCGTCCCCAAAAGTTAATGTTTTTCGACTAATGTTATAGTGTGCGTGGCCGATGTTATTCCATTACAATTATTTAGAAATGTGCTTGAAGAACCTCTTATTTAAATAGCCCTTTTTATGATTAAATAAAAACAATAATCGAGTAATAAAAATGTTTACTCATTTTATACATATCAAGATGTTTTGTTAGTAAAAAAATCTCTTTTTTTAAGTGAATGTAGGTTCGAAACCTACCTTGTTCAATTAAAATTTTAATTTCAAGCAAAAATAATAAAACTGTTTAAGTTGATAGTTTCCGACTAATGCATCGTGTGCCTAAAAAGCAGTCCAAAAAAAGTTGGCTAAGTCCTGTTGGACTTAGCTCAAGGTTTTTTGATTTAAACTTTAATTTTAATTTAAAAAATTTAAGAATCCACCTTGGAATATTCTTCTTATACTAAATAACTAAGCTGTAATGATTTACACTATGTACTGAGAAAATCTTAGAAAACATAAAAAATTGTATAAACTTTGCAAGATTTCAAAATGCGTAAATATTTTTTAGTTCCTTTAATCTAACAGCTATTAAGAATGTACCGCGGATTCAGAATGAACCACCATAGTCTACCTGATTTATATACGAATAATAACGAACAAATTCATTTGGGCACTTATTTTCTCAATGTAAAATGTATTCTGTATGAAAGTATTTTCACTTTATCTTTTTTTGCCTCGAAACATTCCTAGTGATGAATCGAGCCTTAAGGAGTGTGTTGTAATATGCTTTTGACCTACCTTCAACCTGCAATGCCTTAAAACCTCCGGTTCTATCGTCCCCTTCTAACTACTACGAAAGCCAGAAGATGCGCGCGCCCTACTTGGTAGCCGTAAAACCTTTTCTTTCAAGACAATCTCCACAGAATTTTTTTGTACCGATGCCCGGAATGAAACACGTTATTTATTGCAAAATTTAGTTTAACATACCAGCCTTAAAATAGTGTTGTTCTTCGTTTTTGCTTTAAGCGTCGTCACTATTATCATTAGATTGGTAATAAGCAATAAAAAGTAAGAACGTCGTAACATTGAATATATACGAAGGATCTAATAGAGTACTTGAAAGCGAAAAAATATTATTGTTCCTTATTACTACGTTAAATAAAAATATAAGGATCAAAGAGACAAAGAAATGGTCACGAAGTTCCAGAATGGTCTCGAACAAAAGTTAGTGAGGCGAATCAGTCAATGACAATCATTACTGTTAATTTAAATATAGTCAAAAAGACACACAGTAAAAACAAGGCCCTGTATAAGATATCCTGACGAAGATAAAGGTTGTAAAATGTGACATAGCATAGTCTCCCAGGAAACGTACAGTTACAATCCTATGTTGCTAGTAGGCAAAAATTAAGGATAATTTTTAGCGGTAAGCTGGAAGAACCCACAATTAAAACGATCAGAAACGAATGACTTATGATCCATGAATAGCTGCTTGTTATAAAGAGTTGTATAAAAAATTTTCTAATCGAGAGACCTAAAAACCATAGGTTAATCTTGTGTAAACGAAGATAGAATTTACAATGTTGGTACACTCGTAGTGTACCAACATTGTAATTTTGTTTATAAAAAATTGGTAAATAAAAAACTTGCCAACGTTAAAAGCATTTTGTCTTTACTAGAAGATAATGGGTGAAGAGCACAGGAGAGCGATAAATGTAAAACCTTAAAAATCACTATAAGGAAAAAGTGCAGGAATGCATGACCAAACGCGAGGTTGCATAATGAATTGCAAGGTAATAAGCTGCATCTAAGTAAAACTTGACATGTCTCGCCTTCCACATAACACAAAAATATCGTGTGGAAGGCGAGACAAAATGTCGGCGAAGGTAGCAGCCTATCTTGTATGAATGGCCGGTATCATTCCGGCCGGAAATTCTTTGGTCCATAATACCCTAAACTACTTGAATTAAAAATAAGTAAATAACCGTAACTGTAGTGGTCTTACTTAATATTACTATGATTCAAAATACGACCATGTCTTCGGTGAGACAATATTGCCTGTTGTAACATGTTCTAGTGAGATGTGATATACCGAAGCATTAATGATTATCACCATTACTTTTGCAGATGCCTCAAAAATCGGCAAGTGGTGCAGTCAAGCAGGTTGGCGGCCGTAAGGTTGCATTTAGCGGCAAAAAAAAGAAAGACCAACTAAAAGTAAATAGCTTTGCATTTAGAAACAAATTATTTTACTTACAACCTAAGTTTAGTTTGCTGAGTGCACTAATCACTACAGTTAAAGGTTAAAATCAAAATTTACTGCGGAAAATTTTGTAGAAATACAACTATTTGCAACGTACATACCTAAACAAACGCATAAACTAAAACAAACTTTATTGCCTGATTTTTCTAAATTAAAATGTTCATTAGTTTCATTATTATAAGAGCTATCTGATTACCATTTGGAAATAATTCTGAGGTTTACGATTTTAAGTAGTTGCAAAAGAACGTAACTGACAAGATGATGCGTGTTTTTTGCTGCAGATGAAACGACAAAAGAAGGCAGGGATCCAAATGGGTCCAGCAGGGGACGATGCATCTGAAGGTGAACGCGAGCTGGGAGATCGCGTACTCCGGATTAACGATATGGGAAACCCCACTGGAAGGAACACAAGGTCGAAACATAATGAAACAAACACATGAAGTGACTGGACATAAGATACATAATCCATTCTATTTTATTGACCAAAAGCGCGAAGACCAACCTAAAAGAATTACTATATAATTCGTAGCATCTCTTCACCAACAGATAGTTTTTAATAGGCAGGTTAGCGGATCCCGTAAAATTTCTGGTTATATAGTATAATTCAGATTTCATTACAAATGGTGCGTGTCCATATAGAGCGATTTTGGTCAACTGAGTTATTTGAAGTCAAATCTTTTGAGTCATTAAGAAAAACCAACTGGACAAATCTGTTGATTTGCAGGTATGCGTTGATTTTTCAGCAGCAGACCAAAGAAGAAATGGACGAGATCAAGAAAAGGGTCCGGAGGCCATTCAAGTTCCTTGGAGAGGTATATATGCTGTTGTACATGAACTACTTAAAGTAACCTGTGATGACGATTGGCCTCGTATTGGCGATTTTCGCATTATCTTAGCAGATTTTCTTGAATGGGAAAATATGTGAATCTAAAAGTCCAAGTAGAACTATATAAACTTAAAATCCCAAATATATTATAGCTCATATGCAATTCTTTCTGCGTAATGTAAGAGTGTTAGCAGGCTTATAATTTAAGAAAATAGAGGTAGAAATTAGTGTGTAAATTATATATACCAACTGTGGTTGCGCGCCAACACGCCGTCACCTTAAAAACCAATATGAATATTTTTGTAGTATTTAAGCATTGTCTTCAAAATATTCCATGTGCCCTTCTTGTTATTTCGTGAAAATTTAGTAGTACATTCAAAGTAATTCTAGTACGACGGCAAATTGGCCGTATGGCAGCAAATCAGTAATGCTGATCTTATGAATTGTTTCCGATGATACAAAAATGTCGTTCAGGAGGCATTGTACCTCGTTCGTGATACAGATCCGCTGGGGATGCCACGGCGTCCTGTGTGGGAGCATGGTTGGTCAAAAGAAAAATTGGACGCCCACGAGAACAAATATTTCAGAGAATTCACACGCAAGGTGATTTTTTTTTAAATTTAAACATGTTATGTGATCTCTATGTCTTATACGATGTCTTTGATTTTTCAAGAATAAGGCCAATTGCACAGGATAAAGGAATTAATATAGAATATTTAGCCTTAGCAATTTGAGACGAATTACGATATTTATGTATTGTTTACCATATTTCGCACGAGATTTCCTCAGAAAAGTGTGATAGAAAATGTTCCGTAACTGCGGTTTGCCTTGCGGTATGTTTCCGCGCTTGCGTTTGTGTGAGATTTTATAGTTGATGCAAACACAACCATCTTTGTCCTATTTCGAGCTCAATCTGGAGACGTGGCGTCAGCTCTGGAGAGTCATAGAAATGTCGGATGTTCTCTTGCTTATTGCCGATGTGAGGTAATTGGTGTTTCGACGTGTTTTTTAGTTCTCAATAATAATAACAGCAGGGTAACACTACCATGAAAGGCAGCTGGCCCAATTTAAGAAGCCCTTACTAATTTTACTAGTCATCTGACGTAAAAGACCTTTGTAGTACTAATGCTTCATTAAATTATCCTAACACCATTTTCAGACCTCTTACTATTCAAAGAACATAATGACTAACCCGTGCATACTTTTTACTTCAGAGTGAAACACGGCCTATTGACGATAACTCTTGTTTTGATTCAATCCGTCTTACCGCCTTTCAGATACCCCTTGATACACATTCCTCTATCGCTTCTTGAGTATATTGGAGACCTCGGCAAGCGTGTTATTATAGTACTAAATAAGGTAAGATTTCTCATCTTCTTAGACGTAAATTGTGAGTTGTTTTTAACATGCCTTTGATAAATACTTAATGTGTGTACTAAAAGTTCATAATCATCTTTTGCTATAGGACCGAAAAAAGAGCAATTGAATCAATCGACATTTAATCGCATTTGGATGTAATCTATATATTTCAGTCATTCTTATTATTGCATACGTTGTCGTATCGGTGAAACACGGTAAGCGCGGATTAGGATATTTGAACACCTATTGCTACTAATTACAATAGTTACAAATACATACGTATTCAGCGATATAACAGTTAATACAGCTACAGGTGTCTGACCACACGACATATGAAATCGCTTTTAGTTCTATTTGGGCGGGCATGTAAATGCAGATTCATCCATAACCTTTTTTTATCGCAAATTGTTTATTTAATCCCAAAGTTTGACATTTATGCTCTTATTTTTAAATTCAAATACCACTTTTATAGTGATCTGTAAGTCTAAATTTTTTAGCACATAGATAACTAATGTGCTTGAAATATTGATAGGTTCTTTAGGCTAAGACGTCGTGATACAGCCCTGGTACAATAAATACCTATAGGAAAAATCTTAATTTTGAACAACCGCATAGCTCTTTTGCTTGTCTTATCAGTCCGAGAGTAGGCTATGATAAAATTTACATATATTTTGCTTCGAACGACACCCGGTGCCGTTCATGAGGGATGCTTGTATTTTCTTCTCGGCCGTCTTGTCAGGGATTGCGTTTATTTTCAAGGCGTTTACTTACACTCATTCGATTCTCTTGAAATTTATTCTGTTCCCGTGCGTGCCTGCAATTCGTCCATTTTTTTTTTGGAGCTATAGAGCAGCCGTTTGAATGCATAAAGGCATGTTTAGACATTTTAGTTCTTGTAGCAACTTGTTCACACAAATAAATATTAAGCAGGACATCAAGCCCCCTGTATATTGTATTTCGCTTGCCTGTCATGCGGATGATCGTGTAGTCATTCGATGGGCTATTTCGACGACGTTTTTTTGCATATGTCCTTGATAAGCCTGAGTGTGCTTCTTCGAAGCTTAGAACGTAAAAATATTCCGATCAGTTTTTCTTTTTAATGTCAACAAATACTGCACATTATAGGTTTCTGTTTGCTGTTGTTATAGACCAAATACATTAGACCTGGTAGCGTACCTTCGCATTTTTATTGATAAGACAGAGTGATAATTTTTTTAATAAGTTATTTGTGATGATAAACCATTATGTAACTCTTGCGCAGGTTATTTTACATGCACAATTATACCCTACATTCTGATTACTTTCAAGAGGCTCCTTTTTAGCGCTTTTCAAAGCAAAACATAATATCAATTACAAATTGGTATTCCGTAGGTGGATTTAGTTGATCCTGAACTTGCAGCCTCGTGGATTACATTTCTCGAAAAAGAGCACTCCGGAGTCAAGGTTATACCCTTTGCTAGTTACGCGGGATGCAAGGCCGTCGGTGAGTAAGCGATATATCTAGTCGCGCTGAACGAATTCGGATGATCTAATAAATACTTGAGCAAAGCTTTTTACATTACTAAAGTTGCAACAAGTGTCTGTGATTACATTGATACACCAGCATGAACACCTGCAAAACAACGATGAATTCCCACTGAATGTGGCCATAACCACTGTAGCGCTGTCTAACTGGATGTAGTTCTCATTTAGGCAAACATGGGCGTGGCAAAATGCGAACCCCACTACACTCTTGTTTAGCACTCTTGGATGCCGTCAAGAGTGTACTCGGAAGTGAAGCTGCCAAGGTAATATTTTCTGCATCGCTTACGTTTCATTAGGCTAGTCGAGATTTTGCTCCTCCGCCAACAAGTTGTTTTCAGCTTTCAAAGGAATTGCCTTTCGTTCCAACTGAGCAAATAGAAAATGAGAGCCAATCTGGCTTTCAACTTCTCAAACTAGTCCTTTGGTGTACTCAATAAATTAATCATTTTAATGTTGAGATGAGATAATGACACTTTAATAAAACAGTTTAAAGCATTTTAAAAACATTTTTTCACTTATATTAAATTTAGCCGTATAGAAAGCGTATTAGTCAATCTGGTTTAAATCTCATGCAAATTTGATTTTCTTTAGATCGACTTATCGTCGTGGGAGAATAAGATTCGTGAAGATTGTGAGTTACATGGAAGTCAGGTTGACCATGATTCCGAACTCGAGGTAAGTCGTTAAACTGTTTTGTTAGGTTACTTATATGCATAGTATATTAACTAATAATTGCACAAGCAAGGCTTGGGTCCTTTTTGTTCGACGCGCTCTTTTCATGTTTCGTGTCACGTAACAAAGAAGCATCTGTGGTCATTATTGGTAGTTACCGAGTTATGCCATACTCTATGTAAAAAACGTGGAATGCCTTAGAAAAATGGAAAAGAAAGGTGTGTGAGGACAATCTTCTGCGACACTTAAATGATCTCAAAACGTGACAAGTAGCTTGAGTTAAAATTCGTCTCTGTAATTTCTGTAAATTTCGATGATTTTTTTTTGTTATTAATGTATCTTGCCAGGTGGGAGAGGTGATCGAACAGGACGACGTCGTACTATCGAGTCGTTTTCAGGAGGGACTGTTTCTGACTCTTGGCATGCTTGGGCATCCTAACGTCGGAAAGAGCTCTCTTCTTAACGCCCTAATGGGCAAAAAGGTAACGTCGGCTTACAAATATAAAAGCAATTATCCAGGTCTAAAGATGTTGTTCAGCGCCATGTGAAAGGTATTACTACATTGTTTTTGCGTGGCAGAGTAATCGGATTCCGAGAAGGAACAGAAGTGTTCCAGTTTTACGAATCGATCTATAATCTATAATAAATTATACCTACAGTTCTAATAAATAGAGTGAACAAAATATATACAGCACAACCCGCTTTTAATGTATGATAGCGATTCGTACCACAGATATACTACAAATCCTCGATTTTAAACAAAACAAAAGTTTTAGTTCTCCTAGTTATTGAGTTTTTCTTCTGCTACTCGATTCGCTTTTTTTGTATGTTTAATAAAATTTGCTAATAGGTCAATATTTTTGCAGGTTGTGTCAGTTTCTCGGACACCTGGTCACACGAAGCATTTTCAAACCATCTTTCTCACAAAACAGCTTCGCCTTTGCGATTGCCCGGGACTTGTTTTTCCAACGAAACATCCACGAGAGTTGCAGGTACGTTCATTTCAGTTTACAAGGCTGCCCCAAGATAGTTATCGGTAAAATTGAAAGGTAATCTATATTATCGATTCTAGATAGCCGCCAACCTTCTGCTCAGAGGTCTATGGAAGCTACTCATGAAAGCGATCTTTATTTACTACCAAAATAATAACACCTAAGCTGATGCTAGTGTTTTGGAATACCGTTCCTTAACCTGTTTTATGTTTGTTTACGTATCGTGCGTCCAGGTAGTTTCTGGCAGCTTCCCGATTGCCCAGCTTCGGACACCTTTGGCAGCAGTCGAATATGTTGCGCAAAGAATCCATGTGGAGCGGATTCTCAGGTTAGTATTATTGAAACAACAGTGTGATTAATGTAACATAGGGAGTCCTATACTATCCTTTTCCAGGATTTACCTTTATAGCTGTTTAGTTCAAGTACTAATTAACAAATATACTCCAAGCAAACATTTTGATAAGAATGTTGCGGTAGACAAGCTAGACAAGCGACATTCGTTTTTGCCACTGTCGTTTTTTAAAGACAAATTTAACTAGGCTGTTTTCTCTCTATAAATCTTCTCTATAAAGACGTCGCTACGCTAAGCTAACTATATATGTCAATTTTCTGCATATATTGATTCTGTAAAAACAGTCGCAGGATTATATTGGATACTTCGTAAATACCAGAATACTATAATTTTATTAGTGTAGAATGTTAGAACTTACGAAATATAAAAAACAAATTTATCTTTCGTTTCAAACAGATTACCAAAGGTGGATACCGATGAGTCGGATTGGTCTGCGTTCGAGATTGCCGAATCATGGGCGGAAAAGAGAGGTTTTATAACGGCTAGGACAGGCCGGCCTGATGTCAACAGGTGCGATAGTAATTTTGGGCTGTGCATATTTGTGTTCAACGACATTTTCTGAAAACCAAAATGCCTATCCCGATCGAAGGTTTAAACTCATGTAATTTTTCGAATACCAACATTATGTATGTGAATCGAACTATATATTCTAGTAGTATTTTAGACACATACATTTCTGTGTATGAACCTAGACTTTTAGATAAAAAATGTTTTTAATCGTAATTTTAGAAAGCTTAATATTCATATAATTCATGTGTTTCAATATTATCTTACAGGGCTGCGCATCATTTATTGAGGATGGTGCTGGACGGCCGAACCCTCTGTGTAGCTTTTAGGCCCCCTAAAGAGGAACACGATCAACAGCCTGATAAAAAGCTTATTAATAAAATCTTAGAGGTATGTTTCATCCCATGAATCATAGACAACTAAACGGGCCATCCTTGCTCGTTTTAGCTCACGATCAGTTTCTTTTGACACCAACATTTTTTTTTAAAGTATGCGCTTGATACGGTCAGGCGTATGTCTGCACTTAGCATAAAACTGTGGGCTCCCATACCAATAGATCAACTTGTTTAAAAGCAGTATACACTCATACTCATCAATGACTTATAGAATGCATTTAACGCTTGTAAATGCAAATTTAGATTCGAGGCGTGAAGCGCGAGGCGTTGTCGGACGTCGATGAAAACGACGAGTCTGATGTAGATTCGGTAGATTCTGAAGGAGGGGACGGAACCGCTGATGAGGAGAGTGGCGATAATACAGGAGATAATATCAGCTGTAAAAAAGGTAGTAACATTGTTAGTCCTAGAAGATTAGTGTAGTGTTTAATCGTGTATCACTTTATTACATTGAGATGTAATAAAGTTACAGATTAAGTTAAAGGTTACAGATTACTGACACAATGTTAGACATTCCGCTGACGATGCCAATGATGTTCTTCCCACTATTTTAACTGGACTTTGTGCCGTTTCAGGTGAAGCCTCAGGTGCAGAGAAGAAAATCATGAACAGATTTGCGGCTCTTGTTGCTGACGACGACGATGATGATAACGATGAATGAGGATAATGCTCCGAAAGACTAAAAAAAAACTGTAAAAATAAGAATAACTATGGCTAAAGAAGATGCAAAATAGAATTTACATAAACAAAGTGCCTCTTCCCATATTATCGCAGCACCCGAATGTGGGAATGGTCAAAAGTCAAGAATATACACCAAGATTTAAAAAAAAACAACTGTTCTCAAATTATTTTTCGTTTATAAATAATTTGTCCCTCGAAAGCATCTTTTTTTTTATCGTTTAAACGAGATGAGTATGTGAAGTTGTCCCTACTACTTTTCTCCAACTGATACATATACAAGAGCCATATTTGAGTCATAAAGAAGGTATCTGTGAATATAATGATGAGTAGAAACAATACTGAACCTGCAACATGTTTTCGCACTTATCCATGTGCATCCTAAAAACGCCGCCACAAGGTTCAATGGTAATGTTTTCGAATTCTACTAGTGTGTATTCGCTAGACGCGTAGTAATACGAATTTATCTTTACAAATGCCGGAGTTCTTCCGAAAGTGAATTCATTTAGGCAAACTTTAGAAAGGGTTCTATTTTCCAAATTAGGTATTTTTCCCTATCCATATTTAGAACACTTACTGCTGTGGACTCTTTGAAAGTTAAAGCTTTAAAAACCAAATAACTGTGAGGATAAATGAAGCGATTCGATAGCACTGCAGAAGATAATCGATCGTTGACGATACAGTTCGTTTTGTAAACTCGATTTTTATTAGATATTTGCTGTTTATTCACCTTGCAAGATATTACAGTAATAAGACTTGAGCTTACAAGGATGAAAAAGAAATTGTTTGTGCTCTAATATATTTAAAACAACTATCATTTTCGATTATATATACCCCACTGTACCTAGAGGAAAGTCCTATATGCATTGCTCTAGTAAGGCTGAGAATATTTGCATATTTGAACACGATTAAGATGTTGTTCAACATATGTCTGCGGAGAGGTCTATGGACGGGGTATCATAATGTGAATGTTTTAAAGAAAGGATAATAGGTATGAAATTATAGCAATGACATGTTGACCTCAGACCTACCTTAATCAGAGCTGCCTTTACTGCTCTTTGAACATATTAACTACTACCTCTATTGCTATTCTCACTCCGGAAGCAAACGGAATCTATGGGTAGAAATACATTCTGATAAACACTTAAATAGATATTTCTTTTTGTGTGTCTTGTCCCTTAAAGTGTTGTGCTTAGAAATCTATTTCCGCATGATCTCTCTTTGTAGTAATATCAGATGAGACGCTTTTTAAAGGAGCTGTAATGGGACGTAATTTCGTTTTTAAATGCGTTGCAGTATGTGCCCCCCCCCCCCCCCCCCCCAAAAAACCCACAAAAAATGCGTTTAACACCGTGAACAGAAAGGACTCTTAAAGTCCATAAAAAACCACGATCAGTTAACGACGTCAAAGAGAATACAGGTAGGCACTTATCGGCCGTAACAGTGTGGGCTGTGCAAACCACAGCGGCGGACCCGTTGGAGACACTGTGAACACTGCTAACAGAACTCTCAGATCAAACGGTGCCATAAATAAAACATATATAGCTTGCTACTAATTAGCCGGGAGACTCATTTGACGTAAATAGTATTGACATTTATTTAATTTTGTACTATCAGGCTAAGTTCATAGTTGATTTTGAGCACCAAAAGAAATATAGTAGCTCTGTACTGTGCAACAGGTGTAGTAAATATATGGGGAAAAACAAACATCAAACAGGCCTACACTGGTAAAGGTTGCTAACTTCGTGCTTCTGCCTGTGCATTACGTTGACAATCCTTTCTTTCGGAAGATAGTAACTAATCAGACTCCTGGAAGTCGATTGCATCCGAGTTATCCAGTCATATGGAAATCGATTTAATTTTTTCACATAGAGTCCGTAAAGATTTACAATAAATTTTTTTTATTTATTATTGGAGTTTTAAATTGCAGCGATTTCTTTAATAATACCCAATCGACCTGTCGACTCCGTCAGATTAAACTCTGTGATGATCAGAAGGGCCGTAGGGTCACTGTTTTACAAGTAACAACTTGTATTATGGATAACCAATATTTTTTTGTGACTTATTGCCACTAATTATACGATAGAAGTAGGAGACGTCTAATGATTAATTACTTATCCTACCATAACTAACTTTCGACAGTACAAGTATTAAAAAATCTGGTCACATAATGATGATGCGCTCACAGGTGCTTCACGTATTGAGCAAAATACCAGAAGTCCTCTTGTTAATATAATTTTATTTTTATGATGTGCTCTAGTAACGAAAAGGAAAATGAAAAACGAAGTGCTGTATATTGAAGTACGAAATGTCAGCACATTACAAACGAATCAATAATATCTGTTTATACAACGCTAATCTCTTTGTTTCTTAACTGTTTCTATGTGAATCGCAAAAGCCGCCTCAACCAAAATAAAGTAACCATCAATAATCAAAAATATCTGTTATTTGTTTTCTTTTAAAATACTGATTTCGATATTACTTGAAAAAATATATGCTTGGGACCACTTTATATCACATCATAGTATCATACCAATTAATAGTATCTTCATAAACCTTTAGTGATAACAACTTGATTAAAAAAATTACATTAGATTTTTTCTCTTTCAAAAGTGGTGGCAATATAGGATAAGTTACATATCTGATACCCTATATACTTATATATCCGGTCGTAAATGTATACGACCAAGTGAAAGCGGAGCGAGCCTTAATGTTTCGTGGTAGCTATAGCTAAGGTTTCTGCTTCGACTAGCGACGGCTAAGTGCCATTATGAAAAGTGATTATATACCCGTTGTCAAGGGCTTGCGACGTTATCAGTGCCATCGCTGGTGTCCGCTGTTTGAGTTCTTCCAACCCGAGTAGCGGATACTGCAAAATCCTCAAACATGTTAATGCTAAAGACAAAACGGCATTTTCAATGTCTAGCGGCTTTTTCATGCTATTTGCTTCCTCCAGTACATAATACATACATAATCATCGAAGTTCTGTTATACCAGACGGCTCTAGTCCACCTCGGTGGTGCCAGATTGTACTCTTCTGATCTCCATACTTACACGATGCACACACAGGAAATACTAGCAGCCGTCAATCAAATTGGCTGTCGGTTGAGGGCGAAATATGCACTCAGAATGTGGTCTATCTAAATGGCTGATATCCATCCGGCCGATAAACGGCCGACTCCCCGGATTCCGAAAAGGTTCGGCTAGTCGAGTCCTTACCTTCTCTGACCTGGGCCGCCTGGTTCTTGCTTGATTACTGAGGCTGCTCGGACACCACGCCGGCCATGGTCAACGTAAGAAAACTTCAAGCGCATGCTACGATAGGGCATTCTGGAGCTAAAGACTGATTAGTTTGAATCCTATGCCGGACGTGGCACAAGACTAAATCTAATACTGTGCCACTTCTGGCATAATTTGCAGATGAGGTTGCAGACGGATGCCACTAGAACAGGATGGGGGTTGAGCTGAACAAAGACATACGCTAACCGCAGCCCAATTGACTTAAAGTGTTGTTGTTAGAAGGCAGACCGTCTGGTAGTAGTGTGGGGCTTCAAGATGTTCTGACCGTAGTTGTGCAAACGCCGCTTTAAGTCAGTCACTTACATACGTTGCATAGAAGTCCTAAAGGAGAAGGCAAGTGTCTACTCAAAACTGAGAGAACTGGCTCTGATACCGCTGGAGTACAGCTTTGGGGTCTTCCAGAAAATGCATATAGCGGGTGTTCTGCTGCGAATTAATCCACATCTTACCGCCCTAGGGAAAGCCATTATGTTGTACCATTCGCAAGCGGATGGCTAGGCATATCGACTGCCAAAAGATGTTGCAGGAGCGCTTTTTACCGAAAGCGTATTGAGGACGTAGGACCGGGAGACAGAGTCTCAGTAGAGATGTATCAAGTGTTGAACTGGGACTCAGAAAAGCGCATCAACGCTAGAACGTCTGTTCGGCAAAATGGGCATCTTCTATGCCTTCTGAAGGTCTACTAAGGGCAATAAGGCTTTCCAAGTCCCAATGATAGTTGATTATTGCACGCATTTTGTCGACGTTGCGCCGACTGTGGTTTACGCGCCGAACGCCACGCAGCGCGGTTTCAGGGGCTTCGGCGCCATCGTAACGAACAATGCATCCTGTTGTATGCAGCCATGACGGGTTATCTCAAGCACATCATCAAGCACAAGAGCCATATCAAGTCGACCGTCAGGCGCGTCCAACGCAACGGTCTGTTCTATCTGGTTAGACCGTTCTTGATAGACTCGGTTTTTATGTGGATACAGAATTGCTGCCTTGCGTGAGGTTTTTTTGTCGCAACACTACCACAATCAAAAGCTCGAGCAAGACGCCATCTTACTGATTTTACGCTATCGCGCCTTGTTTACTGGGAAACCTCCGAAGTACGAGGACGGCAGCAACAGGTGAATAACTCTACTCAGGTACTCCAAGATGGCACAATACCGGTGAGACACAAACGGCCTACGTCGGGACTGTCTAAGAAGCTGTAACCTTGCTAAAAGAGTTTTTCAAGAGCGCCCTCAGTTGACAGCTTACCGTGAACGCGAGAGACATACGACATTAATTGGTAAACACAATCCGCTAGAATCATCGAGGGTGGAGTTGCCCGCAGCGAATTTTAATACTATCGCAATTTTTAGATAAATGCGCCCAGGAACAATGTATTTATAAAAAGCCAAATAAATCGCAGTAGGCCGGTGATAGCCATATGATTCAGACAATATTGATCAAGAAATTGGTATATTGAAGTGATGTTGACGAACAAACCAATAATGATGAAAATTGAAGCCCAGTTTATTTACAAACTACGGTATTTCTAAAATTATTTTTTACATATCTGTAATATAAACAGACTCTAGACGAATATTGTGACAACCAGAACGAGTAGGGTGAATCTGGTTACCGCAGTCACTTCAATTTGATTTAATTGTTCTAAGTTAAGAGTTCCTCCAAAATGCTGTTTACGATCTTGAACGCCTCATTATCCGTCACTGCCGTTGCAACAGTAAAGAACTGCGATCATTTTAGCCGCATTGGTCATAATAAATTTCGCGACTATTCTAACAACCGCTGTTGTCGTATCACAAGTTATATTATCTGTCATGAACTTCGCTACGTCGTTGAGTCTCGTCCCCTGAAATGCCTTTCTTTGTCGCACTTTTTGAATCACCGGTTTTGCTGTGAGTTCTAGTTTTGTCTCGGGCCACTGCTCAGCAAAAGATTTGTGTTGTTAGGGTGTGGCGTTTATTACCTCTGTACGAAATAATAATACTCACTTTTTTTTTGTCCTGCTCTATGGTATAAGACAACTCGGTGCCTAATTTTCAGTCAACCTCATTATTTAAAATCACCTTTGATGCATGCCTGAAATTCTACACAAATGATTACATGTTTATATATGATAGCAAAAATTTGCTCTCTGCTGTATGGATTTACCGCAAAACCCTGAACAGATGAAGGGTTGGTTTGCTTGAAGTTAGCTTATTCGCAAGAATCATAATTATGATGCACCGATGACGTTCTGTATATCATACAGTAGCATCAGTCCATAGTTGTAGTGCGCACACGTGCATACTGCCAAAATTCTCTTTTCGATGTTTAGAAGTACATAGTTGAAGAATATGCTGGTCAAACAGCTAGAGAACTACCTAAAATTTAGAAGATTCCAGCTACTTTATTAATAAACACATTTCGTAAAGCACCTCGCCCTTCACTGGTAACTTATGCGACCCTCATACGTGCTTGTATATTGCACATCCTAATAGATAGTCAATCGAATTACTCGAACCAGAAAAACTAGTGAGCGATGAAACATATATTCAGTGAATTGAAATGAATAAGTACGACAACGGGAACTGCGCATTCGAACTGTCGTGAACTTGCAAAAAAAAAAGTTAAGCATATTGGCGCCCTCTACTGGATACATCCTAAGAGGCATTTATGTTTACGTGAAGGTTCAAGTACTTCAAAGCATGTGGAAATGTTATAGCGGACAGACGTGATACGGAGATCCTTGTTTCGTCCCATATTGCTTCTAATAAACTAAGTAATCGACTATGCTATACATTATTAGTTTTGTAAAGCTCGTATATGAATTACCTGTTTAAGTTTCAAGCCAATCATGTCTTAAAACAACATGACATTATTATGGCTAATAACCGACAACACCAACTTCGGACGGCTGAAACATCTCCGCTATCGGCGTTTGTAATAGACTACTTACAACAAGATTCAAACCTCATAGTATATTAATTAACTTCATTTAGACTTTTGTTTAACGAGCCTCTCTGACATCGATCACTCGGGTTCCTAACTTCATTAATTTATCCATGAACGCTTTTTATTTAATTATAGTATACGAGGTATAAGAGCGGCTTTAGAGAAGCCCTTAGGGTGCGATAAGAATGTTTTGACTTCTGTGTATGCTAGCCGAGACATATCGTGTCTGTTTCAAATCTCAAAAAATATGCAGCACATCCGTTTCTGCTGGCTCGTTTCTGCTTACTTGTAAGTTATCTTATAGTAGCTAGCTGAAAAACATCATATCACCGATTATCTTGTGTGGACTATGAAAATGAATCGCAAAAGCCTTGTTTATGTCTAGTTTTGTAAACGACCACTAGCGAAGCAGTTACGCTATAAGTGGAAACTAAGGTACTGGATTTGATCTATAACACCATTGCCCAATCATCCTCAAGTTATGTTATTTTTTCCTTAATAATTGTTCTTCAAAAAGGTGCAAATATCAGCTGAAGCGAACGGTGTTCAATACGGGGTCCGACCCAGAGACCTGATTTCGAGTGCAGGACAGATGCTTCACTCCGTGAGACAACAAAGCTATGACGAAGGTCCCATTTGAAGCTCCTTGACTGCATGCATTTATTTATTTACTAGGAAAAAAGCTACGGAGAAAACAGCTGCTGCGTATTGTTGAATAACTTAAATGCTACACTGGATAAGAGCCGATTGGAAAATATCGTCGTCATTTTATTAACGGTCGAATTTGATAAAAAAAAAATACCGTCTATAAGCTAATTAATATCTTCAGAGATAGGGGGTTTGACAGGTAGCTGCTAGATTAACTGGGTCAAGAACACGTACAAACAAACTGTATGTATTGAAAAACAATTGAGACTACAGGACCTGCAGCAGAGCTAGTGAACGCCTCGAAGGCTTCACTACAACTCAAGCTGTCGGAAACAATTTAAATTCTTAGCAGTTCCTTGAAATACGTTGAAAGCGTGATATCTTAGTGGAATTGACGGCCGATGGCAAAATCGTTATTTCGTTACAAATTATACAAGTTTCGTTAACAAAAAGAGAACTTGTAACGCAACTCTGTTTGCAGTGAGCCCACCCCGTGCCGTAAGGTTATTGACGAGACACTGTAGTTATGATACGTAAAGATGATTTTGCTCTGTCTGATTTCGTCAACAGTTTAGTTGGAAATCTTTGAAAGCTTTCCAAAATAATCGTTTGAAGTAATGCTTATACATAAGTCAAAGAAAGTATGTGGGTGGTGCTCGGTTGAACGACAAAGATGCTCCAGGCTTGTACCTGAGAATAACGAGGACGGCAATTCAGTTAGGTATTGACATCTTTCGAGAATTACCAGATTGAAGGTCCATTTTCGCAATCATTTTTCATTCGCCCCAGCAGCTTTTCGGCCAGTGAAAAATTATTTTAGTTCCGCCGAAAAGCTTATCATGGTTGGGCTTAGCTGGAAGCCAGTGATCATATTGAAATAACGCAGCAACACTGGTTACGAAAGTCACTCGTACGCACGGAACAATTTGGAATCATAAACGAAAATGAATGACTGAATGTTAGAAACCTTCCAATACGCCTACGTGTGTTGTTTGTAGCTCGTTGTGATTTATCGAAAAAGCCTCATAGACCTGTGCTACGGGGACAGTGCTGTTTTTTAATATCTGTTCAGGATGCAAGCTATCACGTTTAGCATAACAATCTGCAACTCTGGCCAAACGAAATGGGCGAATCGGAACGATTTCGAGTGGGGTATATAAACGTCGTCAATGTAGAGTAGACAGGAGATGCTCAGATAGAGGATGGCAAGCACCCCACCAAAGGTTTCAGTTAAGCCTAATGCCATTCTTCGAAGTTCTGTTCACTCTTGCCTAGCAGAATCCGCTACGGTCGTCTTATTCTTAACGATGGCAATCGACGAAGTCGACTCGACCCTTTGCAACCGTACAGATAGATGCTTATTATCAGAAACAAGCAAGCATACATGAGTATCAATACCCTCCGTCGTGCACGATGTCCAATGCAGTTAGCAGACTAAACAAGCGCAGAACTTCAGTGCACTGAGACAACTGATCTTTTTTGAACTGACAAATAACCGTTATAAAATTTGTTAATTTTCCCATAGTGATAAATAGAAAGTAAACTAAAATACAGGCCACTCGGACAGTGTCAAAATGAACACAAAATTCTTCAGTGCCAACGTCAAACCTGAAGCATAAAGGTCCAAATGTTGAAAGAGACAATTTTCCTCGGAGCAAATGGGTCGGAAACTTGTCTAGATGAACATACTTCGCACAGATTAGTTGAATCTTCGACATTTCAAGGATAAACTTTTCCAATTTGGGCACAAAATGCCCTCTGCTGCTATGCGTGGAAAAGGGTTATATATACACTACTAATAATAGTAAATTTTTGCATTTACCACATGTTCATTTATTGAGATACGGGTTCGAAATCAATCGATAGAATCAACTACCGTTGGGCATACGCAATAGACGTATACGTAGTTTGTTTTCTATTCAAGTTTGTAATTTATCGTGCAATTTATCTATTTTATCGCTATTTGCGATATATTGCGACCGAATACGAATCTACCGAATAGAAATGATTCAAAAACTTCTTGCTGTTTGTAGTTCTAAAACTACTGCTCGGCTCAATGTTCGTCCGTGTACGAACGTTATTCACTGTAGACGTGCTTAGCTCTCGGATGTTGTCTATAAACTGTGCTTTGCCCCATGTTAGAAAAAAGAGAAAAGTATAGCTTGGCAAACTTTTAGCCAAACCCTGAAACCATAAAAATAGCTTTAAGCCTTGGCCGAAGAACGTGCTAACTAAGCAGAGGCAGCGTCGTCTGTTAATCAGATGCACGTCAGATACGATGGCGCATAGGATCAAAGCATCATATATTCGATTGGTTTCTCTGCGAATACCGTCATTAAGCCATGTCTTATCCACCGTTGACGATCGTATGGAGAAATAATGTCAGCTCTCTGTATCTGTACAGCGGTAATTGTACAGTAACTAATATATCATCATGAGAACGGACGGCACACGCTATTCGTTGTGGGCATTAGAAGTAGTTTCTGAGATTTCGATAGAAGACTTAAGTAGGACAAGTTGGACAAATTCGCGGCTGACGCAATAAAGCAGATGAACGTTTTCGATGCTTATAAAGTATCTGGCAGCATATAATGTTCCATATATAAGACGCATGCTGCTTCGACATTCGAAATAACGTTTGGTACGAAATTTTGGTAATTCTGAGAAGGCGTTTAATAACAAGCGATTTTGTATTCAACAGCTGACTAACAAGGGAAAACGCATAAGCATAGATAAAGAAATTAGGCAGTGTATTTGGTGCGTGCTAATTCGATAAATGGTGGGGGCCTTGCTGGCAAAGGCCAAAAAATACGGTTGAATTTTACATGTTTGCCATATAGTTGCGTCGGCATATACGAAGACAGTAGAAATGCTGCACGAATCTTTACCGCCTCATATCGTCTTCTGATAATTTTTTCTTCCTCATAATCTGACTTCAAATCAATGGTGTTAACGAATATATGTCGAAATATATATAGCCGGTTGCCGGACTCCTTATGTGGCGATTGCTGCGATTTGTAAAATGGGGCAGAGCTCATACCCTTCCGCAAGCCTTTTTAACTTTTATTGCGCACTCGTAAAATGTCTAAACGTATCATTGAATCGACATTGTTGGTCCTCTTATCTTGGACGTTGAAAAATGCTGTAATTTATTGCCGAATCAGAACTCATTATATCGAGATAATCTTTCTTTAAAACATGAAGATTAGTCGGTCATGGAAGGGAGGTTTCCGTTTCTTTTGATTCGCATCGAATTCCTTTACGTCCTACGTTTGATTCATACCGGCAACACTATCCATTACGCTGGGGTGGCTTTTCGAGCAGAAATCATCATAACACAGTTTTATTATATAGCACATACTGTTCCCGGCGAATATATTCCGACACTGTCAATGATCAAGATAAGTTTTTTGGAACCCTAAGTGACTAACTTCGGCAAGGTTGATGATTGCTCGAACCGTGTGCGGGGTACAAGTGTTGTAATAGATAATTAATATGATATTGTTAGTTCTGTGATGATTTTTTGTGTTTTTAATTTGCCTAATACCAACTAAGCAAGCTCAGTGCTCTGAATCTAGTGCTAAAGGATATAAAAGGCGTTTTTAGGTTTACTTGTCGTCGAGTTCCCCATCAATCGAATAACTACAAAGGACTCGTATTCTAGGCAAGCTCTTGAATCGATATTCGAGGGGTTCAGATTTATTTTTACAAAATACTGTAACATTTTTTATGTTACAGGTTTCTTTAACCTGGACACCAATGGTGCAAATGACAGATTTGTGTCGCAGTCACCTATATCTTATGCTATATTTGAAACAAATAGTGACACATATTTCTTACCCAAGAATCGCCTTGACTACCCTAGTTTTTCTTTACACCGCTCCGTCCGCATTCAACTGTTATTCGTAGTGTGTGCTGAGGGTTAGACATTGATTAGAAAAGTGCCTTTGATTAAATATTACTGTCTGTTGCTGGAAAATACGGGACGCTGAGCTATTCATGACGCCCCGTTACAATAGAGCTACTTAGCGAATCACAATTGAGAACAATATGAGCTAGCCTTACCTGGCAATCTCTAGCGTTTCTTAACAAACCTATTTATTGTATGCTATATTTACAAGCGACATTGCCTAAAATTTACAAAACGTCTAGGATACTTAAATAGGATACCGTATACTTTTCAGTCGTGGTATAATTATTAATCAACATGTTATAACGTACTGTCGATGGTATGTCCCAGTGATGTTGGAATATTGTCATCCAAATAAAATTCTCTTCAGAACTTCAGTTTCAAGAAATCCGTCCAGATGTATTCCTCGCTTTAGGTATCAGAGCTGACTTTCTGTATAGTTTGCATATTGGTCTCGCAGTTTTTAGGTCACCTCTTAAAATATGATTAAATTTTATTCAAATTGTAAATTTTATTTATTCAAGTTGAAGGAACAAAGTGTACACCAGGACAATTGCGTGAAATCATAGAACACAGTAAAGTAGTCTTCTGCCACAAAAGGAAGGGACCCGGTTAGTCCGGGATAAAATATATCTAGCTCTAGTCTATATTCACCCTAGCTATATTACCTTTCAATGGCTGAATGACCTACTCCCACTGGACCCTTGAATATTCAAAAACTCTACCGATTCTAGTCATTGGTACTACATTCTAGCAAACATGGCTGGCAGAACCTAATTTCATGAGTGTCTTTAGGTTGAAATGAGATAACGCCGCCGCTATTGATGGAAAGGGTTTATTTATCTTAGAAACATTATGAGAATTTAGCTTTGAGTGTACCGTTCAACGATGTCAGCTATCAAGTTCGGCAAGACACGAGATTATTTGAAAATAATAATTTTTATTGCGAACGTATATCGTACAAAGGGAGTACCATTGTTGTATTGGTAATTTTTGCGAAAAATAGTGTGTAGATACCTTCGGCATACAACCTAGGAATGCTATTGCCAAATCTTCGAATACAGTATTACTTGGTAACTATAGCTAGCTATGACCATGAGACCAGCACCGAAAATGGACTTTATCGTAAGCGTTGAACGATGCCTGATATCAAGCTACTCACTACATAGAATAACAGGGATAATCGAACGTATTTTGTGTAGCGGTGTTCAATGCAGCTTGCTGCTTCCGTAACGGATTGAAAAAGTTAGGCACAGGTAGGTTACGTTACTCTTCGGTATTCAGTTATTAAAGACAGTATACACAAGAGACAAATGCTATATACTATGGTACAAGCAATATCATAGCTATGAAAGCGATTATTTAAAATTGGATCTATGACAAATCATTCTTAACTATTGACCTTCCATAGCCGTATCGTCACCGTACTTAGATGCCGTGCATGAAACAATACGTTTTTGATGAAGTACATAGTCGCATTCTTATTTTAGGTCATTCGGTTAGTCAACACAGGGAAGCTGGGTATAGCGCAACGAGAACCCAGACTGAGCGAACGCGGCCGGATTTCTTCCGAGTGACGGATCTGAACTTGAGGTAACACGCATTATAAATGGCTTACTGTGTGCTGAAACATCGAAAATGGCTCTCGTTAGTTGAACAATCATGTGCCGATCTTTTTTCGACCTTCTGTAACGTGTAAGTAGCAGATAGTTCTGATTTGCCCCTGTTTGGATTTGAATTCAGTGAAAACACTGGCCACTTACATATGAGGACATTTTTCTCATGTAACTTGGTGCCGCAGAAGCGGTCTTCGCCTGGTCCCATACCGTACGTCGATCCCTGTTCAATAGTCACAAAGTCACCTTCGCAGTTTGCTCCAGATGCCCCACTTTCATAAGGCCTACAAAACAATCAATACAATGACCTATCCATATCATGGCGATTCCTGCGAGTTATCAAACGATCTATCTAGCTTTTTATACTTTTTGATATTGGGCAATTTTTTCAATGTGTAAAGTATGCGTCACGGATTGTGCCTTTTAGAAAGGGAAAATGTTATTTTTTTCTGTGTTACGAACGGGACAACTTTTACTGCCTATCGTTTTATTTTTTGTCCTGATGCTCCTGCAACGCGACCAATCGAACGCTCAGTGTTGTTAGTAAATAAGCTCAAAATTGCGATTATATGATATACATGATGATTGCCTATAAATTGATTTATATTAACCACTAGATTAATATTTATACAACAGAATGGCTCTGAGTAGACGACTATTGCAGACCTGCCGAAACTGAACGAAGTCCTATTGCCTTCAAAGCCACTGGGATATCTCATTATAGCCGTTTCCGTCTCCCATTTGATTGAGCAAAAATTCTCCTCCACACGAAGGCAAACTGCGTAGCGCGTGTTGGCAGGATAACGAATAACCTTGTCCGTTTCTGGGCCGTAGTTGAACGAGCGCACGAGAGACGACGGTGATCGGAAATATTGGACGCATCCAGCTGGCACTAATATGCAGTAAGCGTTTCCACAAAAAAAAGATTGAACGGTGCGTTTGGCATAAGGCATTTGTCATTCTGTTATTAGGTAAACCATTTTCAACGGCCCAATTGCCCCTAACAATTAATACGATTGGTCAAGAATGCCCCACTATATAAAATCGGGCTCTTAGTAAATGTGTCAATACGTTTTACAGCTACGGAATTCAAATTGGCGTTACGGAATTTCACACAATCTATATGCCTACATACAATTTGGACAGACGTAATTTAGATTACTATAGTCGTTACTGACTTAAGATTGACACGGTTGATATGTCACTGATAAGCCCAGTATAGTAATAAACATGGATAGGAGGCAACGATGTAAGTGAACAAATAAAAAAGTGAATTTCCATATATATTACTGGCCAATATCCTAATCCACGAACTGGAGCCCCGTCATAAATAATTTATGATAAATGTTCTATTAAGCTGGCGTTCAAATCTGCTCTAACGAAAGTGAGCGGCTTATTGGATAATTACGATGGCCCAAACCTGTCACGGACCCGGTTCCTGAGCCGAAGCCGACGGCTACTGATTTCAACTCTGATCTGTGACACATAGAATTTCAAAAATTCGTTATTTTAAAAAGTGCCTTTAACTAACCGATATCAAGGCTTCCGCAGGGGATCATAGATACTTTAATGCGCCATTTACGTGCATGTGTCAAAGACCCAGTTGAAACGACGCTCAACACGACGGGATTTCCAGACTGACGTCCTACATCGACGTACACTGATTATTGGGCAGAACAAAACATAGAAAAAAAAAAGCCTTTATTTGAGAAGATCATCTATTTTGTGTTTAAAGACGATAACTAAATACAGAGCGGAAGCATATGATTTTAATTAAGAAATAATAATATAGCCAATCGTCTCAGATTTCATATTGGCTCTTATGAACAAGATGGCCTTTTGAGTAGTTTGTCCTATTTGAAAAAAGTCGAAGGACCATTTAGAGAGTAAATAATGACTCACTATGTTGTCCGCTATTTTCGCCACAGAGAATTGGCAATTTCTCACCGACTGTACTGCGGACCATGAACGCGTCATGCGAGCAGACGCCCTGAAGTCAAAACAATTGTAGTCATATTATGAACACGTTGTCCTCATATATCATAGAAAACAATAGAACAAACCTAAAGCCCTATCAAAATCTAAACGCACAGGAAAAAGTGTAGAGGGTATTGTTTAGGGCAGTACATTCGTTTCAACCCACCTGGCAGAAGAGTCAAGCGCACTAAGTCTACTAAGGTAATCGCGAAAAAATTCAGAATTCAGTGACAGCGGTTGCTGGGTCGAGGCCCAATGCTCGTATTCAGAGGACATTCGTAGAATGGAGATAGACAAAGGAATAATTTTTTATCGTACAAATATGAGTTATTAATTTTACATTCAAGCTGAGGCTTTCCGTATGACATTTCGCGACACTTTTCGTTTGGTACGCAAGATGCACATGTACTCTTTGAAATTTACGACTGTTCATCACTCGGACACTTTTAGCAAACGTTTTTGACGAATCATGAAAAGGCAAAAAGTTAAAATAGTTTACGAATACTAGTTTACCTTGAAACTATAACGACAAAGACAGCCTGGCGGAGAAGCTTTGTATTTGGTAAAGGTTTTACTCCTACAAACACCATGAACTGTTTCCATTTATTAAATTTCGATAAGAAAATTTTCTACTCGAAGATTAAGTTCGTGGAAGACCCCCCTGCGAACGTGGTCAACGAAAAATCTGACCCACGTTTCGTTGAGCACTCATGCTAACATACAGGCTTGGTGAATACAAAAATACGATCACAGACATATTCATAAGGTAAAAGAACTGGATAGATAGGTGGCGCATAATTTAACCCAAGATCAAAAACAGGGACGTATAGGCGCTTGCTGGGTTTTGCTCTTATGTTGCGACAACGATACATCTTTGCGGCGAACCTGTACCTGTAATGAAAGATTGATCTTCTGCGACAATCGCAAAGGGTTACGTCAGTAAATGCAACTGTACTAGCGGAAAGCCAGTTTACGAAAAATGAGCTACTACAATGGCTCATCGTGTCTGTTTGGTGCCTTGGTGCAGATGCTATCCATTACAGCTTCATGGACCCTGGTTGTGTCGTTTGCGGCTAAAGTTACTTAAGCGAACAATATTAGAAAACAGAGGGTAAATTACTGCTATCATTCGACCCCATCGTACAGGGATCACGATGGAAGGAGTACAAAAGTTACAATCGGAGGCCCTTTACCATCCATCATACTGATCAGACACTGCTTCTACGGATTACCATTGTTTTTAGGTGCTTTCAAATAAGGAAGTTATTAAAATTACAGAGTGGTGCTGAATCCTTCTTTCAGAATTTCATCGGCTCTCGTACTCCAGACGTTTACAGCAGTGGCATAAATAATTCATCATATAATGGCAGAGGGTTGTAGGTAACAGTAGCGCATACTCCGACTGAACATAGAAGAACAAAGCCTGTGAGAACAAAGTTTAAAAAGCTACTATACCATATTTTATAATTAAGGACCCAATACATATTTCGATAGAAACGATGTACTTCAGAATAAAAAAGTTAAAAATTTACTACGGGTGTTTTAGAGAATGACAATCCATGCTTCAAGTTCCACTTGTCCATTGCGATGTTAATAAAACTTTCACATTTTTTGCCGAATGTTTTCGTGGATTATTTTTGTGTCTGAAATACATGTTACGCCAACTGCTGGCAAAAAAAAAATACTGCACGGAAGGTCTTCCGAAGTCTAAAATTTGAGTTAGGTTTCTATAGAATTGTGTCACCTTTTAAACGTTCTGCACATGCACTGCGTGTCTGCGGTGCATTCTGAGCAGCAGTGCTTTACAGGGAACATCCTTACCTATATTCGTCTTATTACCGATGCAGTTCAATATTGTACTTAACAGACGGCAACAGTTCCACAAACAAGTACCCCTGCTTTCAACAAGTTCTAACATCTTACCTTGTAATCGGGTTGGGCTAACGAGAACTCGATGAAGTCGAGGCGAATCTGACAGATATCGGAGTTTTTCTCGATAGTCACGTCGCAGGTCGACGTCCCTAGCAATAGAAAAGCGTGCATTGATAAAAGACACATTTGCAAAGCATCTGGATACGCTGCTAGGGCAAACGCCATTACAGAATCAGGCCTTGGTTACAATGAAAGATGAAACTAGGACGATAATCAAAAGGTGTGAAAGCATGGAGGCGATAAGCCAATCTGCTTGACAGTTCCTCGTCAAGTGTTTCAAAAATAAAATGTCATTCTTTAATTAAGCTGCCATCAAATCGCATGTTCGAATATTATACGCTTTACTACAAAACAAGGTCTTCTGCAGTTGAGCGCCTACTTGCCGCCCCACCATCGAGGTCGAGAACCGTTAGCAACCTTGCAAAACGAGCTCCACAAAACGATTTAAACGATTAGTGCTATTTTCCAATGATAAATATTGCTAAACTGCGTAATACTCATGACCCGGTGAGATCACGAGAAATGGGTCGAACTATTATTTGTGCATAAAAATAGTATACAGTTGTCGTTACCGATCAGTAGTACTGCATTAAATTCGAGGATATGCCGAACCACAAAAAAATACTTAAAGACAACGGATCGAAATAGGTCGGACCTACAAAAATAGAATTATTTCGAAAAGGATTTATACAGAATAGTAGTAAGAATCCACTTTATGGCTCAATTGAATGATGATGTTTATATAAGGCTCAGACTCGCTTCTCTTACCGGTGTCACCAGAAGGATATGATGGATTAACGAACTCCGTTTCGTTTTTTTCGTTAGTCATTTTACACGTAAACGACACTGAAAGAGATTGGTATTGTTGCTTCTAGTAAATCAGTAGTACGTTACTAATGATAATATTCAAGACTGCACGTCAACGTTCACAAAATGGTAAGGTTTTCTGTTAAGTTAAAAAATTACCTCGGCAACAAACACCATAGCCATCGGCGCAAAAACCAACGTTAACGCCCTGTCGATTATCACAGTCGTTCTGGGTAATGCACGTACCATTTTCACCTTGTGCCCCCAAACAGTCCTGATTTCTGTACCTAGAACATAGGTTAGCAAGCATTAGGCAGGTAGGTTGAAATGGACCGATGGATTTCCCCAGTTCTTCCCGCCCAGATGTGCGGAGATAACTCATTAGATCGGCGTAGGCCAAAGAGAACGAGTATTAGCCTGTATCAAGAATGGTTTGTTGCTGCCTAGCTTCGTGAGTACTTACCAGAAGCAAACGGTATTTAGAGACAATAAATATATTCAATATGCGTGTCGGGAAGTATGGACCGAACATAATACATTTCAACCCCATTCCCTCAGCAGCCTGTACAAAGAGTAGTTAGCTACCGCGTCTGCTTCCGATAAGTTATGACAATAGACTTGTGTAGATCTAGTTTGTCACATCGCTTCTTAAAAGTAGCCTCAACGGTGTATGTATAGTCAGGTTAGGTGTTGCTTACATTGTCGATTGCTTGTATTTCTAAGGTGCATATGTTGAAAGCCCGTTGTGGGCCGTGCAGTTCGTTAAACGACAGGGCTGAACTGAAGACGATGACACGAACTGTAATTTGCAAGGTGAGGATTTTGCACCTGATGGGAAGTTGGTAATCAAGTACGCAAAATTAACCAGTGTGAAGCTTGCCGAAGAATTTATAAAGTCTAGCGAAATTCAGAATGACACCAGCCTCAAAGCACCTGCGAGTAAGCTGCGCCGCAAGCCTTGCCCGTTAAGCATTCACCAGATAACAAGCGGAAGCGAGACTGCCTTATAGTACTGCGATACAGTAGCAGTAAGCATACGGGAAAATCGAAAATTCCGTAGGTCATGGCTGAAATACCAACTATACACGGTACTCTGGGTTATAGGGATGAGGTGGCTTTGGAACTATTTGGGTTATCAATGTCGCAGCGAAACAAGGAATAAAGTGAAATAGTGAGCCGTTCGTGGAAGAAGGACTTTGCACGTGTCTCCACTTCAGTACCGTCTATGTGAAAGAGAGACGCGTGCTTGACAGATATCATATTTTCCACGTAGTATACTCATCAGTATGCAAGGTGCACTCATGTTCAAAGGTTTGGTGGCTATCGGCGGGCCTGGACCGATATGTAACAGTATAGGCGTTATGTCATCCCTAAAGCCGTAATACCTATTTGCTACAGAGAGGTTACTATATGTGGAGAAGCTACTTTACTTACAGAGCACATTCGTATCATCATTACTGAATGCTTGGGTTCCTTCGCAGATACCCAAGATAGCACAAGATAGTCTGAGATATAGGGAATTGTTTATCCGCCAGCGATTTGTAAATGAGAATCGATTGTGTTTAAATAGATATTGAAGAAGAACTCTACGTCAATGCAATCGAAGGCCTCAACAACATCGAGGAAAATCTGTGTTTGCTGTGTGGTCACTGGTATCTTTAGTGATTTCCCGATACGTGGACGCCATCGACAAACCGTTTTTTTGTCTGGATTCATTTTGCTTGCATAGATATAATGTGACCTTAAACAATGGTAGGACCTCTTACGAACTTTGGTAGATAATCACACCAGTTCGATGCACCCGCTTTGCTTGCGTTAACGATTTGAGGTTATCGTGAAACAGTAACTTTTGTTTACCTTTAGGACATCCTAGCAATCGGAACATCGTTCTTATCAAATCAGAAGGTGATACGCCTACTAGGATCCTACAATACTTTGTATTTTATTGGATGAACTTTGCGATGAAACAATAAGACGTGCCATGCTGTTCACGTGGATTTTCTCTAAATTACCTAAAAACTAAGGCGTTTGATTTTCTTTATTTTCAATGAACGATCTTGATGAATTTACCTGAGAAAGGTGAAGTAGCCAAGTTGCGGGCGGCTTGATTGACTCCATCCACGGGTAGAAAACAAGATCAGAACCGCTGAGCACAATAAAGGTTTAAAAAAGTAAGCTAATCGCGTGGTTTGGTTTGACATCATCAACAATATCTCGCTTTTGAGATGTTACCTTTAAAAAGCAATAGCTTCGGGCTCTCAGTTCTTTCTAGTTCTATGAAGCTATAGTGGAAATCCCAAAAAAACAACCCATCACACTTCTCCGTATGGCTGATTAACGGTACTTCAAATAGCCAGCTGCTTTTCTGTGGGGAAAACGTAAGCTCGCACGAAGAAACACACACCGATATGTTTGTCACGCGCCAATAGATCTCTTTCGAATTTGGCGCTTATTCAGTTCTTGACAGTGACTGAACGATGTATGATGTCGCATTAGGTGTGTGCATCAGCAACGTCTTACTTCAGTTCAGACGGAGGCGAGGATGTTCAGCTTTTAGATTCCTCTCTGGTTGATGCTCGGTGAACTTTTAACAAAATTCCGTGCTCACCCGTTAAATAGCCTGACTGGCTATTGACCTTCTTAAGCCATACGCCAAATTCGCCGTGTTGCGCTTGAAAGAATTAGAACGTGACGGAAGACGACCGAAAAGTATATTCGATCAATCTACGAGAAATGATGCGTTGTCCTCTTATTGCCTCTTCGCATATCGTCTCTCTGGTTGAGTTCCTGAACTTCACTGACGCCTCTGCACCGGACGTTTCGCTGTTATAATTTAACATCACCATTCATATCAGCTACTTGTTGTCAATATTCTAAGTAGTGATAGAGCTTGGAAACGGAACCCTTTTTGTTTGTAAAGCCATGAGGTGGCAAGGTAACCCCTTTATTATTAAATTCGAAAATTCGACAAAACACGAAGGGGACATGATAGACGCTGCTGTGCAAAATGTTCTATCAACGTCTTAAAAAAACATATCATTTACGCTTATTCTTCGTCAACATCAGACCGGTCGTTTGACAAGACTGGAGTTTACCGGTCATTGTTTTCGACACTTGTCGTAATGTTTCGGTTTTGTGCCAATACCGCTAAGCCATTGCCAGCTATGAAAAGGTCCTAAGCAATAACCTGTTTCGAAGTTCGAAATCCAAACGTGACATATTGAAAATTACTCTCCTGTGGCTTATAATTTAGTAGATATTTATTCAGTCTGATCGTTTCAAATGGATATGTAACCTCTTTAGTGACAACATATACTCACTTACATAATAAACGATACCACTACGATCCTGTAGATTGCTTTGGGCCTAAAGAGGCTTGTAGGTACCAAACTTAAATTGAATCACTACTATAATAATATATACACAATACTATAATACGAGACAAATATGTTTTTCTCTATCTAATATATAT